ACTAATTTGTCAAGTGAGAAATTATATGATGAAGTCATTGAGAAATTCACTATTCTTTGCTAGTAATGTAAGGATAATATTTTCAAAAGATCTCTTAATTTAGTTTCCCTCATGGCTAAGCAGACTCCTAGCCCCAAGGAGACACGAGGAAGTAGAAGGGAGACATCTTTGTCAGTCCTGGCAGGTCACAGAGAAGATGGCAGACAGAGGAGCGCGCTCCTCATGGTATAGGCCCTCTCCTGGCTTTGGCCCTGTGGATGTGTTAGAGCAGGGGCTCTTGATTTCAATGATATTGGAAGGTGAGCAAGGACTGCCCACGGATGCCCTGGCACCACGCTGAGGGTATCTGCCTCAAAGCAAACTCAGCACCATAACGAGGGGAAAAGAAACCCCGAGTTTAACTTTACTGAGTCCAGGCCGTGGAATGTGAGCACACAAGACTGAAATCGAAAGGAGTCCGTACAGGGCTTCAGTGATGAGAACCAGCACAGCCCGGTGGCCACCACTGGGCCCAGTGAGAGCAGAGAGTTCCGAGGATGAGTCCCAGCAGCCACGGGCGCCAGCGGGACGCGCAGAGGCGGGACCACTGGACTTCTCTGCGTCCAGGCAGCCCAGAGGGCCACCCCCGAGAGGCCCACAGCGGAGGGACACGCGGGCATCTGGACTCAGCGACCAGCTGCTGCCACAGGATCGCAGAAGCCACTGCTGCCACCTTTCCTGCGGGCCACTGGCTTGGCCTAGGGAGAAAAGGCAGGAGTTGGCCTTTGTACACAAGAAAGGTTAGGGGTTAATCTGAAGAGATTCTTTAAACCATTAGGTAAACTTGATTTTACCCATGTGGCTCCTTTTCTTACTTTCAAAGAATATTTTTTATACCAAGCAGGAAAGATCAAGTAAGGAAAAAACCCCAGAAAACAAAAAAGCCACGCAAGTACCAGTCATGATAATACCTTTCCAGTGGAATCTCGGATTTACTCACACTACACTAATATCTTTGTGTCAGTCTCTGAAACAAACTTTTTTGAATAAATGAATAATAACGCTCTGGAAATAATATATCAAAAACAAAACAATCTTCAGATGGGGAAAATTACTCTTAAGCTACAAAAACACCAAAAGTAGAGTAGCCCAAGAGTATTTAGCTTAGAGGCAAAGCTTCTCGTACTTGCCTGCTCCCAGGGGTATCAGTAAAGCTGTGGTGAATAAATCACAGCCACTGTGAAAATACTGAGTTGATTATGGTTGGTATGTTTTCTTTAAAAATCCCAGAAAAGCTGTAATACATTTAACAGTGTATTTTGGCACTCAAATCGATATCCTCTGGTCACGTCCCCAACTGCCAACTCTATTCATTCCCTCAAGATGACTGGTGAAATACTATAGAAGTGGGATCTTCAGGTAATTTTGTGCTTAATTTAGTAACGTCATCAATTGGAAGTTCTCCCTCCTTCACTGCTACCCTGATTAGGCAATGGAATGTCAGTTTCTACTGGGGACAGATCCAGGTTTTGTGGGGACTGAAGCTGATACAGTTTTGGGATCTAAAGAAAACACGCACATGCACACACACGCACACACTACAAATACAAAAGGAGGAACAAAACATAGATTTGTTTGGAATTAAAAATAACAACAAATTATACATTTAAAAAAACCTCACAATGATTTTTATAATCAACTGCCTGATATACCTGATTTTTTTTCCTATTTTGTCTGCATAGTTTGATTTCTGTCTTCATATAAAATGATTTTGTTACATTACGTTCTAGAGCGTTAACAGATACTGTGATCTTTGTACTAGCAAAGTTGATCACAATATTTTTTCATGATTGATAGTTTAGAAGGGTTTCTTCCTAGTACACAACTCACTATTGGGAAAGTCACATACATTTTTATTATTTTTGTCAGATTTGGAAAATACATGAAATTCTTCAATATGTAAACATGTAGGAGTGCTTTCCATATCCTAATTCTGGATCTGTAGATTTCAAACATCATCAATCACCATATGTTTCTGTCCTGGGTCCCCAAGATATGCATTTGTTTGGTGGTTTGATTCCTGACCTTCCACCTGTGTCACTGTACTGGCACAGATGACTATAGCCTTTGAGCGGTCAGAATGGGTGTCACTATTACACCAGGCTGCAAAAGCCTAGGGACACACATTTATTAACTTTTGCCTTAGCCAGATGCCAAAAATGCCCTCAACTACTCCACTTCTAGACAAACAGGAAACTAGAATGAAAAGAGACAGCAGTCTTGTCTTAGTTTGGGCTGCTATCACCAAGTTTTATAGACTGGGTGGCTTATAAACAGCAGAAATTTATTTTCATAGTTATAGAAGGTAGAAATCCAAGATCAGGATGGCAGCATGGCTGGGTTCTGGTGGAGACCCTCTTCTGGCTGCACACTGCCATCTTTCTTTGTACCCTCTCGTGGCAGAAAGATGGTGAGAAAGTCCCCAGAGTTCTTTTATTTTTTAAGTTTTCATACATTCATATAACTTTTTTTGTCACAATCATCCCTCATTACCCTCAATCACTCCTCTGCCCCTCCCTTTATTCCCTTTCTCTTGTCTAATGATAGTTCCCTTTATACTTTTTTTTTTGGTACTGGGTATTGAACCTTGCGCTTACAAGACAGGCGGTGGAACCGCTAAATTCCTGGCCCTCCCCTCCCTTTATACTTTTTGTTTAGAATCCACATTAGGGAAAACATGATATTTTTCCTTCTGAGTGTGGCTTGTTTAGTTTAGCATGGTTATCTTCAGTTCCGTCCATTTTCCTGCAAGTGACATGATTTTGTTTTTCTTTACGACTGAATACTCAATTGCGTATAGATGCTGCATTTTCTTTACTCATTCATCTGTTGATGGGCACCCAGCTGGTTCCTTATCTTGTCTGTTGTGAACTGTGCCACGGTAAGCATGGCCATGCAGTTGTCCCTAGAGTACACTAACCCCCTTTGGTAATACATCACGGAGTGTAGAGCTAGATGACATGCACGTTCTATTGTTAGTTTTTTGAGAAACCTCCATACTGCTTCCCACACCGGCGGTAATAATCTACACTCTCACCAACAGGGTATGTTGGCAGCAACGCTACATAATTTTAGGGTAAAATCATTTGGTTAGCCTAGTTCTGCCTACAGCCCAGCTATGGAATTCTGAGACATAATTCCATTTTGGCCTCCGGTCACAACTGAGACCTCAATGATCCAGAGATGCTGTGGTTCTCCAGGACAAGAAACATCCTGGGAGCTGAAAACGTCCTGGGAGGAACAAATATCTACTCAGTTCCTCATTGTTCTTGGACTGTTAGCATCTTGTTTACGCGGATGTACTGAATAAAAGGTGCAGTAAGCTGGGAGCTTCCGTCTCTGCCACCCAGAGCAGCACTGATCAGACCCAAAGCTCAGCTTCTTCTCAGACTCATTTTTCTACCTTTCCTGTAATTCGCCTTGTGCTGCCGTGGCTCACAGGAGACTAGGACTTACTGCAGAGGTTCTAGTAACGTCCCCTTTCCCTGTTCCCTACAAGGGTAAAAGGGTTCCTTTTTTTCCGGGGTCTCTTATAAAGTCACTAATCCCACTCAGGAGAGCTACACCTTCAAGATTCAATTACCTTCCAAACGCAGCACCTCCCAGGTATCATCATGTTGAGGGTCAGGAGTCCAGGATACGAACTTTGGGAAACATAGTCTTGAGCTCGAAATTATCTTTTGAAACTTTTATAATCACATAAGGCCATGTTTTGTTTTTAGGACACCCCCTCCTGTGGGCTGCAAGGTGTTTTTAAAGTTTCTTGGAATCTGCCGTTGAGATTTGCTCTGGACCTTGTGCTTCAACAAACCTGAGCACATAAGAAAGCAGCTAATGTGAGACAAGAAGGGTCAGGTCGCTGCACGTGTTACAGGACTGCACAGTTAAGGACTGCACAGACGTCTGGAACGGGACAATTCGACACACTGGCCAGAGCTTTTTCCTGAACAGATCCAACAAAAGCCACAGATTGAGTTTCTGGACCAACACGCCCATTCCAGGACCAACCACTGCGGCCCGGAGCAGGTCGGGGGCGAGGACTGGGGATGGACGGTCAGGTTTCGAGAACCGCGAAGGAAGACTCAGGGCGGGTGTGGGTGTGGGCGAGGGAGTCGGCTGCAGGCAGTCGGAGTGGCCTGACCCTTACAGGACCGAGCGGGTGGACTGCACTGAGCATGCGTACTCAGAAATCCCCAAATAACGGGTACTCATCGCTGGGGCGGGGGTGCGTCTTGGAACTTCATGCGGAGGTAGTAGAACTTCAAGTCCATAAATCTTCCCAGATCTGGAAAAACAGCACGCGGCTTTGGGGTCGACACCGCGGCCTTACAGCTCAACTTGGCACTCTTTGTCCTAGGCGGGAGTGAGGCAGGGCGGGAAGCCTCCAGCATTCACGCAGCGATTTTGGATTTTAGGGCCCTCTTTAAGCCCAGCATTCCAGATGCCTTCAGGGATCTATTCTCCATCCTGACCACACCCTGGGTAGACACAGGGGCACCCGCTCTGCCTCCTCCTTGCAGTTGGGGAGACCCAGGCAGGGCACCTGCCCTTTCCCAGCTTCCTGAGGGGACCTAGGGACGTTTGGCCCGCAGGACCTCCAGGGTCTCCCCGTCCTCAGGGATCCTCCTGGCCTCCACCCCGCCCCTTCCCGGGTCTTCTCCCCACTGCTCCCCTTCCCGGGGTGCCCCCCGCGGCCTCCCCGGGTCCCCCCCCGCCCCGTGCCCTCTCCTCCTCGCGGCCCCACGTGCCCCCCCACGCCCCGAGGAGCGGGGCTCACAGTGACGGGAGCGCGGGGCCGGGCTCCAGGGGGAGGTGAGGGGCCCCCGCGGAGGGAGGGGGCGAAGCCGGGAAGGAAGAAGCCGGGAAGGAAGAAGCCGGGCCGGGCGCGGGCGGTGACGCGCGTGGCGTCCTCGGGGCGCGTCCTCCCTCCCGCGCGTCCCCGAGCCCGGCCGGGCGGCGCGGTACGGTCTCCGGCGCGGACGCGGCTCGATCGCTCCGCAGGCCAGGCCGTGAGCCCCGCGCAGACGCCGCAGCGCCGCTCCGCGTCCCGCTCCTGGCCGCCCGGCCTCCGCCGCGATGCTCCGGGAAGCCCGCGCCCGAACACGGTGACGGCGCCCGGGGGAGGACGCCGGGGACGCGGCGAACTTCCTGGCCGGCTTCCCGGATGAGACTCCAGCCCGCCCAGCCCTGCAGCCATGCGGACGCCGCCGGCCGCCTGCGCCTAGACCCCGCCGAAGTGTAAGACCTGCCTTTCCTTGCATCAGTCTTGTCGTTCCCATTGGGAAGAAAAAATGTTAACGAGTAGAGCCTTCTGTAGAGGCGGCGAAATGTGGTGCATTCGCGGGTCTCGGGCATGTGATTTTCCTTTTGCATTTCTCCTCCTCCCCAAGGGCTCATTTCTGCTGCTGCCTACGGAGAGCTCTCCGGTCTGTCTGTCCCTCTCAGCTCACAACAGAGGCTGTGTTTACAATACACTCAGATCACCTGTAAACGAAGGAGCCGAGTTGTTAAGTTTGTCTTTGGAGTTCTTGAAGCAGGAGGCCTAATCTGGATGGATGGTGGTATTATTAATGGTGTGAAAATCTGGAGCTCGCTAATCTGTTTGGTCATCAGAAGGCTCCTGCCGAGATTGTTTATATAGTGTGGGAGACAGATGGCATCCTAGACGGAGAAGCCAGGCATAAAGGGCCATTGTATTCTTCTGGAATAGCTACTTACTTGACTGCTGGAAGGTGGGCTGGGGTGGGGTGCAGAGTGGGAAAGACATCGTTTTGATCTCCCCAAGGAGACATTATAACCTTACCATCTAACAGCATAACCGCTTATTTGTTCTTTCCTTGGACATTGGAAAAGTCATCACCGAACTGTTTGTTTTGATGACTACATTGGCACATTTTGGCCTCAGTGGTGGTTATGGGAAGCACTTTAAACAGTTATGGTAACAAAAATGCCTTTTAACTTAAAACTGTCTTGCCACTTCAGGGGAGAAAAATAGTTGTACCTTTCTTAGCTCTTGGCTATACATGGCCCTTGGGCTCACAGTGTCCGGGAGGGACTGTGGTCTCATCTGCTTTCGTTTGGATCCAGCTTCCTTCCCGGACCTCAGGACAGGTCGTTCCCCGACCCCCGGTGTGCGTGTGCCCAGGCTCTCAGCCCGGGCAGCAGTCTATTCTGTGATGCTCTGCCTGCCTCGGATCGTGCCTTAACCGTGTATGCATCGCAGGTAGGGGACCTTTGGGCAGTGCATCTCGGAAAGGCTGTGATGTCAGAGAAGAAATCAAAGTCATTCTGAACATGTGAGATGAGCCAGTGGGCGGTTCTTGCTCCCACCAGCTCTGTAGATTATTTATATGCTGTAGGTTGCAATTAGGTAAGAAAATTAGTTTTCTTTCTCTCTTTTTGAATGTGAGGGAAATATTCTCATAAGTTAATATTCACCAACTGCAGGAATAAATTTAACGAACACAGTGTTCAGCCTCTTTGAACAGGAGGCATGAACATCCTTTAACTTGGGCGAAAAACATTCTTACTCTTTTCTAAGATTGTGTACCACTAAAATCAAAAAAAGGCAAAGAAACCAAGGCTGTTATCTGTAGTTGAGAATTATGCCGTGGCCTTTTCTTCTCCATGAATGTATTTTGCTGGAGAGGGCCTGAGGGACTCTGCCCAGTTTTGATGATGTGCCCTGGGGTCAGCAAGATGATCTCATACTTTAAATCTCCCTTGAATCTGTGGCTGGTGTCTGTGTACCTTTCCACCAGGTGTGGATCTCTTTCGGGAAGTGTTTCTTTAAGAGAACGGAGAGGCTGCTGGGCTGAGGCTTGCTGTGGGCCTGGTCTGCATCTGTATTCCAGTGCTTTGCTGTCTGCTTTCTTGGGGAAAAATGGAAGCAGTTTGGCCTGCTGTGTGGGTTAGGGAGGGCATGACTGCCCTGAGGGAAAGCCGTCAAAAGTCAGGCCTGGTCAGAAAGAGAAGTCTGTATTTGAAGTTCAGTTGTCCAGGCAGGACAGGGGTTGCTTCTTCACACACAGGAGGCCTTGTGTATCAGGGTATGAATGAGGGATTAGAAGGTGACCATGAGGCTGGGGATTTAGCTCAGTGGTTCCGCTGCCTGCCTCAAAAGCGGAAGGACCCGAGCTCGATCCCCAGTACCAAAAAAAAAAAAAAAAGAAGGTGATCAGACCTTCTGGCTTGTCCGTGAGAATGCCAGTTTATTACTGTTGACCTTTCTTAATGATCAAAGTGCCCCCTTTAAAAAGTGCCCTGGGGGTTGGGGATTTAGCTCAGTGGTTCTGCTGCCCTGCCTTGCAAGCGCAAGGTCCCGAGTTGGATCCTCAGTACCAAAAAAAAAAAAGTGCCCTGGTTTGGGTGGTAAATATCACCCTTGGAATTAAGGAATACTGAGTATCTTCTTCATGGGCCCTTTCCTGACACTAAATTTTGAGTCTTGCTTCATTTGAGTCTTTCATTTGTTAATTGCAAATAGAGAAAAGTCAGAAAATTTAAGCTTGCAAAATGCATGAGGAAAAAATAAGTTGCAGGGAAGATGAGAATGACACAATTGCTTGGCATCTATTTACACATATAAGAAATGAAATAATTTTATGCTCGAGTCAGTAAGTGTCTACCATGCCTGGAAGGCCACTTTATTATTGTCTTACAGCACATTAAGAATTGGCTCTTGTTCTTTTATTTAAGGCTGACACAGATTGGGATGAGTCCTGTGATTTGGGAGAACAGTTTCTACAAACCCTTTTTGCCAGGCAGATGATTCCGAGGTGCTTGCAGACAGGGATGCAAGTTTGAGGAGCTCGTGAGCTAGCATTTGGTGCAGTTCTTGGGCATTTCCAAGGGTCTGGTGGCTGTTGCTGTGAAAAGTTGACTCCACATTCTTTTAGTTTCTAAGCCCTCTGGGTCATGAGGACAGTAGGAGGCCTGTTGTTTTCTGTGCTTTCTTCTGCCTCCATTTGCCTTTGGGTCTGAGCTTTTCATACAGTGTGCTCATGGAGAAGGAAAATTGAGCATTTTCGTAGGTCTAGGATGGTATGGGAAGCTTGGTAAGGGCTGGGGCTATACCAAAGTGAGATACCTGAAGCTGTGGCCTCACTTCTGCAAGGGTCTTGGGGGGAATTGCCCGTGTGTAACAGTTCACCTGCAGGGCCAGCTTGTAGGTGTTACAATTAATTATGGCTGTCAGCTTTCCAGCCGTCAGTCCTCTACAGTCCTCAGAAGCTTGGTCAGCATGCCTGAATGGGAAGAAATTATGTATCTCCTTTATAAATAGGATGACTGTGGAATTTTTTTTTTTAGCCAGCCAAGGACATTTTTGGGAATGAAACGTGGTGCTGACGGGAAGGGGCACCAGGTTGCAAGGATAAAGTTTGGCTGTCTCAGAACACTGGCATGGATGGTCCACCCAGCCACGGCCCAGATCTTTAGCTTTTATGTGAAGAGTGCTGAATGGCAATGTGTCCTCAGTTTCTCTGGACTTGTTCACCTTGTGTGCTTGTGTGTGTGCATGCCTGTGTATGCATGCAAGCACTAATTATATTTGTATAGAATGTCTGTTGTGTGGTTGAAATAAACCACTAGAGAAGGTGTAGGCATTAGAAAATTGTGTCTTTATTCATCTCTTTTCCTGGATTAACTTCTTAACTAAACTGTGTACCTCCAGCCCCTCCAAACTTTAAATTTTCTTCTGATTGTCTAGTTTGAACACCGTTTTGTTGATAAAATTGTTTTGCTTAAAGACCTTTGATGGGTCATGATTTTCTGTTTAATTCTCAGAGTAAGATCCATAGGCACTTTGTGGTTAGAAGGGAAAAGCAATGAAAAAAAATTTATTTGTTCGTTCATTCGTTCATTCCTTCATTCACTCTGTTAGTGTTTACTGTGTTTCCATGAGTTAGTGTCTGACCTGTGCTGGGGAAATAGTGATGAATAAAACAAAGATCCCGGGCTTTTGGAGTTTTCATTCTATTGGAGACAGAAGACAGGTAATAAACCAAATAAATGGGTAAACCACAGAGCATGCTAGTGGGAGCTAGGTGCTTTGAAAGGAAGAGAAAGTAGAACAGGGTAAGTGGTTGGATAGGCTTTGTGGAGAAAGGGATTAAAGAGACTTAAAGTGGAGTAATAAATGTTGCTTGTGCGATGCCTCAGGCAGGGAGTGCAGAGCAGAGGGAACAGAGTGTGAAGGCCCTGAGGTGGGAGTGAGATTGGATGTGTCAGAGACTCCATCTAATGGGCTAGAGGGACCAAGTCCGGGCCAATAGTGAGATCAGAAAGATAATATGGAGGTGGTAGAGCTCCTAGGGCCTTGTGACATGAGAATAATTAAGATTTCAGCAGTTGTCCTAATATGATCTTGAAATTCATTACAGTGTTAAAAGATTGTACAGTATTTGTGCTACAAAGGCTGCATTGGTGGTATATATATAGCTTACATTTTGTTACGACCCATTTTATCTTGGTTAATATACTTTCTACATCACTGACTTATTTTTTTATCCAAGTATTTTTTGCTGTTACTATTCTCAAATTGTATCCCTGTTTCACAAAAATAGATCACTAGTTCGGAAGTGGTTTACTGAAGTATAAAGATAGCGATGAAGATACAGACTGACCATCCTTAATCCAAAAACTAGACATCTGAAATGCTTTAAAATCGGAAGTTTTTTGAGCACTGAATTGATGCTCCAAGTAGAGGATTCCACACCACAAAGCTTTGTTTCCTGCACAAAATTATTAAAAATATTGTATTAAAGGTCTTTAGGCTACATGGGTAAGGTACACACAAAACAAATGAATTTTGTGTTTGGACTTGGGACCCATTTCCAAGGTATCTAGGTATCCATCATGTATATGCAGATTTTCCAAAGTCTGAAGAAATCTGGAATCAAAACATGGTTGCAAGCATTTCAACTAGGGGATGCTTGGCCTTAGTCATGTAAACGCCACACACCTTTCAGAATGCCGTGGGCACAGGGCACTGAGGCCCATGGTACATTTGCAGTGTGGGTCTGTATGCACAGAGAAGGAGCAAGTGCAAGAGTGACAGTTGTGAAGTAGTAGCTGTACAGGAAGAGGGCAAATGGAAATAAGATAATGAATTTCTCAAAATTGTTTTTCCTTGGCCTCACCACCCATTAACCCTTAGCTGTGTTAGGAGTGAATCCTTCATCCTTGCCTGTTATGGAGCTTTGTCCATCAGTGGCATGGAGCCCTGGATGTTTTCA